GAGGTAAGGGAGTCTGTTTTCCGCGAAAATTGTCTTCAAGTACTGATGCTTGGTAAACAATAGCCCGTACCGATCGATGCAAAGCTTTCCTTCGGGGTCTTTGGAACGGTACTACCCGATCCTACCTGCATTCCCGGCTCGACTTTAGACACTCCTTTACCCAACATCCAAGAGTGCCCAGACTTGTACGATAACCGAGCGATATCGGTGCAGTACTGGTTCCCGAAGCAGCTCAAGCCTCACAGATCGGTGCTGTTGCCGGGAGCGCGACCTGCTCGCCCAGTCCTAGACGATTATGACAAGGACAAGGTCCGAGGCAGCGGTGGCAGTAGGCGAAGAGGCGGTTTCAACGGCGGACCAGGTATGGGAGGTGGTCACAACTCGTACAACAACAATTACAACTCGCCCGGCACGGGAACACCGAACACTTACGGAAATCAAAACAGTCCTTATAGCACGCCATCTTACTCGCCAGCGCCCTCTCGAGGAGGTCGCGGAAGAGGAAGAGGGGATTATGGTACTCCTACACGGGGAGGTTCCAACGGCTATCAAGGAGGAGGTTCCCGCGGTGGATACGGTCAGCAACAAGCATATGGTCAACAGCAATCGTACGGTCAACAGCCTGCATACGGCCAGCAACCGGCTTACGGCCAACAGCCTGCATACGGTCAACCGCAAGCATACGGTGGGAACTATCAAGCAGGACTCGGTGGATCTGGCCCTTATGTTCACAATCCGTACGCACCAGTGAATCCTTACGGCGCACCGGGTAATTCTTACGGAGGTGGCGCGGGAGGTGGGTATAATCCCTCAGGTGGCGCAAGTAGAGGAAGAGGTGGTGCTTCGAGCAATCGAGGTGGAAGTTATGGAGGATATGGATATGGAACCAGGGGCGGTCGATAATCATCTGGAAGTATGTAGCAATGATTGTGGACGTTTTAAAAACTGACAAAATGCAGGTGTTGTACCCATGGAACAAAGGCGACGTACTTGGTCAGTGAGGACGAGTGTTCAAGGACTTCAATATACAATCAATCGCAACTGTTCGGAACCAATCCTGCCCATCCCGATAATCGGACTATTACATCTTAATAATGGGTCTATTGCTACTCGATTTTCCCCTACCCAACTGCATGCTTCTTTTCAAACTTTCAGATGCCGACGCTTGCGGACTCTGGCCGAATGAGTAGGTATCGAAAGCTAATGCCATATAATATCAATGGACTAGTAGAAAGAGCATGGTATACGGCGCGCCTCTCTGAAGTCAAACCAAGCCGAGCCGATGACGTAGCGAGAAGCGCAAAGGAGTCTGGATCGCGGGGATCACAACAAATCCTTGACAGGAGGTATATCGGTCGACTCACAGAACATATCTTCCCTTACCCAACGACGAACTCCCTCTTCCCGGTGCTCGCTCAACTCCTCAAATTCCCGTATCCTACCCAGCTTTGTCTGCATATATTCCAACAAAGCACAACCACCTACTATCGATTTCACGCCGTCTAAGCAGTATAAAAGTATCAGCAGAACTGAAAGTATTATAACAGGTGAATATTGCCGGGAAATTCTTCATTTTCCCGTGATCAACAGCATCTCTTACATCTTGTTCCTACTCTTTCCCAGCATATATTCCAGCAGACAAGAGCGGTCCAAGAACTGTCCCAACAGCGAATTGTTAGCACCACTGGTATTCAGAAAGGTACGTTCTGTCTAGCAGCGGAGCTTCGCCTTGTCGTTACCATTTCTGTACTCTTGATCTCAAGCTGACTACGCTGTACCGCCGTCTCATCACCTCAGATTGCTCACGAACGGATACACGATCGCCACCATCATGCCGGTGGCGCCTCCCAGGAGATCTAACCGGTTGGCGAAACGACCCCAGCCCGTGGAAGTGCAACCTCCGCCTATCGCAGTACGAACGCGAGCACGAGCCGCTGCCGAGACGTCAGCGAAATCTACAGCATCACAACGGATACAGGTTCAGTCTGCAGCATCATCAACAGCAAAAAGAACTAGATCCGCCAAAACCCAAGCAGACAGTGGCCCTCAAGCAGTCCTCAAACTTATTGCAGAGGCAGGTGATCAGAAGGTTAGCCAGAACAGGAAGAAGAAGAAGGCTTCGAAAAAGAAAGCCAAGAACGACGACTCAGCTCGAGCGCCTGAAGAGAACAACCCGGCCGATATCGATCCCGCTCCAGCTCTAGCTCAAATCGCGCAACCCGCTGAAATACATGCTGCTCCCGTGCCTGCTCCTGTTGCTCTTACGCGGTTGGAGCTTCTGACGGCTGGAGACGAGCTTACGGACGAAGAGATAGCTGCCCTTTTCGCACGAACGGAAGTCCACAGAAGGAAGAGAGAAGCTATTATTGCCTTGGGTATCAACGTCATCGATGTGGTGCAAGTCACACCAGCGCTGTCGCAAGAAGAAATCAACTACGTCAAGGCTCGGATTGAAGACCAAGCACCGCAACAGCAAAGACCTGGTCTCCAGACTCCACAAAGTTCACGATCTCCCAGTACTCCACGAATTTCACAAAGTCCACACGCTCGACACACTCCAAAAGAACCGATTGGAACCGCTGCGAGTTCTAAAGAGATTCAGACGTTCGAAAGCGATATTGCAAGCCCCAGCAGGAAGAGAAGGCGAGGTGATCTAGGTGCCAGACAGTCCTCGGTCGAGATCGACATGCACCATGTATCATTTGCTGAGCCTGTGGTTTGTCCTCTCGCGCCTTCACCACCAGTATCGCCGTTTCCGTCACCGTCTCCTAGACCCCGCCAATCACGACACCAGATGCTAACAGAAATCGGACATGCCGTTCGAGGACAGGCTTTCGAGGCTAGATCTGGTTTGATCAATGCCAGGCAGATCAACATCAGTGGTGCAATCTCGTTGAACGACGAGAACAGCGTTTCTGAACTCATTGCTCCTGCTTCACGGTCAGCTTCGCCCGAGAAAGTCAAGGACAAGCCGGTGCGTTGGACCTTTGCGAGTGGTACACGTGAAAGGGTTTTGCCTGCTGTGCCGCAAGACAATCGCGAAGGCTTGCCACCTAGCATCCGTGATGAGGCCGCTCGATACAACATGGGCTTGTTCGGTGGCTACCGCGACCGCTGCCAACATGACGACGACGACGACGACGACTAAAGGAACCAATGGACAAGATGCACGGATGCAAGAATAAATGGTAAGTTTGCTGTTCTTCGAGACTTTTCCCGTTTCCTTTTTGCTAAATTTCTTGTTGCGCGTCATTGCCGTGCAATCATTCAATTTCTAGACGAAAGATATCAAACAGTCGGTGTAAGCGCTCGCGCTGCTTTACCTCCTCAAGAACGAATCGATACAGCACACGATCAAAGCTCCCTGTGCCCCAGTCGTTTTCGTTCTCGTGGTGTTTGACCTCTGATCTCATTTTCATTCTATTGCTCTGGTCTCTCTTGGTCGTTCCTCGTCTTGTAACATGGATGGATTCTGTGCCCTCGACAGAATTATATCCTATTCTTCTGCTTTTTTCGGGCGATAGTCTACCTTCCAAATCATTCGCATTCGACTTCGACATCAACTCGAGCTGCGTCCAACAGCTGCACTCGTTTTGCCTTGAACTCGGTCTGCATATCTCGGTTTGGTCGGTTTCGGCCCTTGCTCTTATTCTCCCTTCAGCCTATGCTTTACCTTCCGGACAGTCGCATTCGACTTCAACGACAACACGAGCTGCGTCTAACATCTGCACTCGGTTTGACTTGTAAGTCGGTCTGCACATTTGGACCCGGTCGGTCTCGGCCTTTACTTTTCTTGCCTTTCGGAATACATTTCAACCGCGAATCGAACCGAGAAATATACCGCCTATGGTCGTTTTCACTTTTTTTTCGCCTTGCGCTCTTTCTCACTTCGCTGGTCATTATCAACGCAAAACACAGCTTTTCTTGCAACACGTAGTCGTGCCGACTCTTACGGCATACAGCATGCTCGCGGCCGGTATGCCCAGTTTCGCTCCACTCGAGAGCTATCCTCTTGATTGGCCCCCACCTTGATCAAAATGGACCTATTGCCGGAAATTATAATGCGTCACAAGCCTCGTTACCGCTTGATGTCGCCATAGAGTGGTCAACTATCTGGGATACGTTACACACCAGCCGGTAGCGATACGGCTGACTCGTTAAACCGGGTTCTCAATACGTTTTGCGGCCTCACTAGACTCGGTCATCTTGCTTACTCTCAAATGACAACGGGTGAACGTTTACCGCCTCTCTGCGTTCTGGACAATACGTTTCTCTACTTTACCAAAGATCTTGCTTGCTCTTCTGTGAAATGCGTCGCAAGTTGACTCTACCAACTGCACAGCGGACTTGATATTGCGACAATGGTCAATGGTCTCAAACGGCGGTGCATAGCGATATGGTGCTGGTGCTGTATGCGTCATCGCTCTGTCACACTATGATCCTGATATCCAAATAATTGGGAGCTCATTAATGTCGTCCTAACAATTTGTGACATCCATGCATATTCAGCTGTATGCTATATCTCATGTAAGCTAGTATGATACTGTGTTGGCTTGCAGCGTCATCTTTCCCTACTCTACCGATCATCATTCACCCAAACCATGCCTACAGCGCTTCGACGACCCCGACTAACAATTCCATTATTCCGCGTTCCATGGCAGCTGACACGCAATCGTTCATCCAGACAGCAACCGCGCACCGACAATGCAAAACTGTGTTAGGGCATCAGAGAACAGAGATCCCATGTCCAGCCAAGATTAAAAATCGCCAGGACAAACCATGCCCCACTATCCTTGCGCTGAAAGAGCGTCGAGCAAACGAAGATGACTACCATCGGTGCGAATCAGAGGCCGAAACCGAGTCTCGAACAGCCTTCGAAAACCAAGAGCTTTTTCTCTTTCGATGATGGACTCGTTCGAACCTTCAGGCTTGTGAAATGGAGTTATCTAGCACCTTGGACTTGACGGTATATGCTGCTCGAGTCGTCCGTTAACATCACTGCCCGATTAGCGCAGTGGTAGCGCGTGACACTTCTACCTTCATGAAGTCGATGTCGAGGCCGCGGGTTCGATCCCCGCATTGGGTTGCTTTTTGCTTGTTTTGTTTTGGTCACGACCTCTAGACATCCTATCCGTTGCCTATCTCCTCCATGCCTGTCGCGTTGTCCTCCTTGCTGGCTTCGTTGTTGACTGTCCAGTACCATCGATCTTCCACTACCCAAGTGCGTAGATGCCTACATAGCGTCGTGCATGCTGAACTTTTGTAAGCGCCGTGCAGACCCATCACTATACCAGACTCGAGAGTGCCGCCGTCATTTTTGAGCATTCGTTGACTTGATCCCCGTGCAAGGATGAGATGCATCGCGGTGTATGGAGTCTGCTTGGGTGGGATACGCAGAGGTACCAGAGAGACATTTGTGTTGCGTTCAGCTGCAGACTCGATGGATTGGCATGAAGCTTGGCATCCACACACCCGTATAACGCTTCCTCGTACAAGCAAGGGCATTGAAGAATTATAAAAATAACGGCAGCTAAAGGTCGCTGACAGCCCAATGCCGGAAGCGCTGATTGCCAAACAATCTGGTTGACTGAGGTTTGTTGATCAATCACTCTGCGGAGTCGGTCGCGTTCGTACTCGGTGGCCATTACCGTGGATTTGGTCAATTATGCCAGTGCTGCTAGTCACCAGGAGCAGGCAGTCGAAGGCAACATAGCTGGGGCCTATACTATAGGGACCATATGATATGCGGAGCTGGCTGCGACCACTCCGGGTCCAGTCGCAAGATTGACGAACTTGTGCTGGCGCTTTTCGGCTTGCTTGCGTCTTCCGAAACTGGTGTCCTAAAAAGCCCTCTCCCCTTTTCCGGGCGACTAATCTAACAAGCCTTCTGGATAGAAGATGACCTCTTGTTCGCCTTACCTGCCTTTTGCATATATCGAATTAAAGCACCAACAAGAGATTGTTACAGATATGCACGTGCGGAAGCCAAGCAACACATCTCTTAGAGACCAGCGAAGCAACGGTGCAACTCGCCATAGCGCTCAACCAAGATGCATATTCATCATACCAGGACTGATTCGTTTCATGCATATATCACAGACGGCCTTCATTAATGTCATTACGCCTACTTGAAGGTTTTGTGCCCTGAACAAAGTCAAATGCGACAGTTGTAGTCACGCGCAAGGCTATATCATTTAATTAAACATAGATTCATCTATCTTTCTCTCTGAAATACCGAGGCTATGCTAGAAGAGACAGCAAACATAGGCCTAACACTGTGCTGAGAACCATCCGTGATGAGGCAGCCATACTGACAGCTCCGCTTTTGGCGTTTTGTGACACGCTTGTTGCCGAGGCGGTCTGTACGCTTTCGGTTGCTGATGCAGTATTGCTGGGTGCTGTCACGAGGACGCTACTGTCTGGTAGCGCTTCAGCGGCGGCGGTAGGTTGAGTGCCAATGGATCCCGAGCCAACGATTACGTATTCACCCCATGATGGTACACCGTCCAGAACCAAGAACATCATGGCAGGACCAGGTTGGAAGAGCGCAGCGTTGGGTGGCATCTGGCTAACGTGAAGGGTGGTAGTATTCGTATCAGTGTCGATGGTATAAGATGTCGATAATTCCAGGAATCGTTGACCCATGGACATGGCATGAGTGGAGAAACCGCCTCGAACGACGTTGACCTTTGCCGACTTGACAACGGTTTCGTCGGTAGTGTTCAACTTGATCTCCCAGTAGCTGCCACCGTAGCTCAACGTCGAAGGGAACCCAGCGGTACCGGGTCGTTCCTCGTTGAACCAAGATGGGTACCACCGTTCAACAGAGTATTTCGTGCCCCATTGAGCGGTCGTGTAGTCCTTGTTGGGCTAGATAGGGCGCAAAGTGTCAGCAAAAGCCATTGTGCACAAAAGGTCGTCAAACTCACGTTGGAACCAGAGATCATCAAACTGCCATCGGCAAGCAAGACCACGGTTGAGTGGTACATTCGTTCCTCGGTAGAAGCAGCCAAGTCGAATGACCACCTGTAGCCCTTGGGTTTCGAAGGATCGTAAAGACCGGGTGTGTAGATCGGAGCTTGTCCATACGACTCTCCTACACTCCACATATCGTCACCGTAACCAGCCGTACCCATAGCAACACCGTTACCCATCCACAGTGTTCCATCAGGCAGGTATGCAAACGAGCCCATGGATCGTCCTTGGTGCAAAAAGTCGTCGTCTTCGTACTTGGGATTGGCAGCGTCTGGTGAAATCCGAACACAAGTGTTGTCGGCAGGAATGGCAGTAACGTTGTATCGCGAGCTACCATCGTCACCCCATTGTGGCGGGTTGGAACCACCGCAGAAGAGAATGGTGGCCGTGTAGTTGTTGGCCGGTGTAAGGGGCATCATGGCAGTAGCTGCCGATGCGGGGTAGACTCGAACGGCGTACGGCATGTCTGCAAGGTAGGTGTAACTGTCCTTATGCCAGTCGTACAGGATAGTCGATCGATTGGCTTGCATAAATAGTTTGCCTGAAGGCAGCATCCACGTCAGGGCGTATAGGTTGACCGGAAGAGTTTCTGACAACCATGGAAGGCTGACAGCGTTGCCATCGCCCTTGGGAGGGAAGAATTCGATGGTAGGATTGTCCTGTGCAGCAGTGTTGACGTAACCTAAACAAGAAAAAAAGTCAGCCACCAACCCCGGTGCCAAAGTGCCAGACTACTCACCTCCGTTCTTGTCACCACCAATGACGATAAGACTACCGTCTTCAAGGGGTTCGATCGTTGGATACCAACGTCGACCCGTCATTTGCAACCATCCACCAGTGTCACCATCCGCCTTGTTGAACGGCTGACTACCCTGGACATATTCGGCAGTTCCTGCAACGTCAGGACTGAGCATCCTGATAGCGGTCCCACCGTCGGTGTCCTTGTAAACGGCCTGACCAGTCGTAGCCACACCGCCTGTCGTTACTGGCTGGTTACCACCAAAGATGGCCCAGGTACCGTTTGCCAAAGGTGCACCACCGGCGCAGAAGGTATTACTGTCGACGTCCATGGCTTCGACTTCGTTTGTCTGCCAGTTGTACTTGGTTCCCCAAGCGGCGTGGGTACCGTACTGACCGGTAACGTTCATCGGGTTGTTTTCGGTCTTGTCGAGAATGTATACCCATGGTCCTACACCTGGGTTGAACATCATCTGTGCGGAAACACCCGAGTTACCGACGATCTCGAATGTGAGTGGTGTCGGTGTGTTGGCGCGTTTGGCATGTCTTGACGGACCAGGTGTGCTGATGAATGGCGATGCCGAAGCACCGATGGCAGCAAGAGCCGTAGTGACTGTAAGCGTTGATGTCTTCATGTTGTTTCTGTATTTCTGTTTGGTATTAAAGTTGGAAAAGGACGTGGTGGTATAAGGTGGGAAGGTGGAACGATTACGATGTCGATTGTTGTCTAGTGCTGCGAAAAGGAAGGAAGAAAAAAGTGTCCGTCGGCTGAATTATAGATCGATACGAAGAAAGCGGCGTCGACTATCGAGTGTCGTTGTGAAAGCGTAAAGAGAGAGCGAGAGTACTGGTCAACTGGCAATATGAGCTGGATGCTTGTTTGTACCAGGAAAGTAAAGTAAAGTCGAATGGGAAAAGGCGCCAAACGAGCAGGGACGACGATAGGAGCGATGATGGTCCTTGATCGGCAAGCAGATGCCAAGATGCTCGAGCGGTGGGTATGAAAGGTGACGGCGTGTGAGCGAGTATATGAGTGACCGTTGAGGTGTGAGAAAATGCTATGCAGGAAGGAGTCGAAAATCGTGAAGAGTCAGCAGGTGATGACAGGAGCGAGGTGGAAGATGACATGCAATGAAATATTGGAGGCGGTGTACCACGCGCGAGCCAAAACACAGCGACTCACCTCTTTCTGTTCGCGGCGAGCCAAAAAGGGAATCACAAGGAGCAAATTACGATGCCGGTGTTGTGCAGTCGGCGGCGTGCGTAATGTGTTCGATCACGATCTCTTTCCGGATGCTTTGTTTGTCCTGGCTCAGGCAGCTTGCGTTGCGCGGGTGTTGTATATACAGTCGTCACAGGCAAGGTTCTGGTTGGTCGGTGTCGTCAGCTCTTCAGGAAGTCGGAATGAAAGGAACGTAGAGGTTGCGAGGATTGGGCGTGTCGTCAAGGGTAGTCGTTTAAAAGTCGTGCCGATACTAGCAAATCCGAGGTGAAATGAATGTGCGTAGCGAGGGTATCTGGGTGGTTAACTTTCCCTCAAAACAATAAAGTCCTCGTCGTCGGGCAGTCTCGTGCGTTGCAAATATGTCAATACTTTCTTATCCACCTCCTACTTCCGAAACGGTCAGCTTTGTATTTCTATTCATGTCCGTCAAAGCGCGTTCGAGGGGAACCCGTCCTCTATTGTCTATTGTCTGTGCTCATGCACGCGGGACTCGCCGGCGTTTCATCCAAGAACAATGCGCGTTTCACGCTTTAACCATGGTTTAAACAACCAAACTGCAAAGGAGGTCTTCTAACAAGTGAACGAGAGCTAGGAGCTGAGCTAGGAGATTAGGAGGAGTATAATCTGTTTGAACTGCCCTGGAATCGGCATCATACAACAGACAACGCTGACACCAACGGGACAAACCAGCTGGCCCAGCTGGACAACTTCGACCAACGCCTGTCGGAAGCTTCAAACTGTTTGTGTTTTCACTGTACCCGTAAATAGTTTCTCCATTGACGCGTCCCGATCCGTCATCCGTCTGCCGGCGGGTCTGCCTGGCTGTGGCCGAGCTTGTGCCCGGGGGAAACCGAGCTCGCGGACTTCGGAATGGGTGCTTCACATGTTGGCCTAGCCAGGCGCCAGCTGCCAGTCGCTGAGGCTGCGGCTTGCTTTATGTGCAGTAAACTGGCCTATACAGCTGCCTATACATATAGAGTAGGCTGTAGGAATGCCTACGCAAGAAGGAGGGCTGTGTGAGCTGCCTGTGTACTGTAAGGAGTGTAAGGGCACAGTATGGCATAGTAGTGTATCGCTGGTGTCGCTTTCTATAGCAGTCCTGGCCCTGTTGGCATCAGAAGCTTCCAGAGCTGCTGTCACCGGGTCTG